TGTTCGAAGCTCAGTTATTATACGATACGAAAGGGTATGACGGACGGATAAAAACATCGCGCAAGTTTTCCCTGTCCCATTTTTCCGTTTAGCTTACGCAACGCTACGCAAATGAAATACGCGACGCGCGATATTTATTTATTTACCTATACACACATCTCTCTTGATACGCGGATTTGATCAAACACAGAAATCATTATTAATTTTGCGAAAATTACGGAGAGAGAAAAGAAGAGAAGGACATGTATATAAATTGCGAACAAAAATTGAAAGCGATATACGGGTGACACTATACAAATACCGTAACAATTTCTTCTTGCGTTAACGTTCCGTCATACGAGAGAGGAAGCATTAAAACGCGCGCGCGCGCGCATTTGGGTCAACGAGATACGCCAAAACCGGGTGGATATCGTCGCCAGCGAGATAAGAAAAGGGTGATCCCCGCATGAATCCCTCGCGCTAAAAGGAAGCCTGTCGTAATCCGTGTATCCCTAGGCGCGCGAAGCCGCACATTACTCTTGGTTTATACAGACGCGCGCCGCTCGTTTCTATTATTTTCTTGTTATACCCTCGTAGTGGAAAGGGAAGCGAGATGGCGAGGACGGAGGTATACTAACAGCTTCTCTTTCGTATCGCGATATTACTGTTACGACCACCGTTTTCTACTCTCTCCGGCTCTCTGTCTCTCTTCATCCCTCTCTTTCCATCCCTCTGCGTGTATCTCCCTCGCTCTGCTACCCCTTGGTGTGCGCGACGCTTCTGAAAAATTGCACATCCAAGCCACTATGACCCTTCTTTCTCTCTCTCTCTCTTTCCTGTCACCGCTTACAGTGTGTGAGCTAGTCTGCTCGCTCCGTTTTGCAGAGAGTGTGATTTTGCCAGCGACTTTTCGGCAGTAGCTTCATGTACGCGTCAAAATTTTAGGATACTGCCGAGAACGGGGCTTTTCTCCAAACAATGTATTTGTATCAACCAGAGGTCATGCGAACGGGCTCTCTATGCTTAATCAAGTAACACCGGAACGAAACGGAATTCGAAATAAGGCTCTCCGCATGTATTGCGTCGAAGGTCGATAATGTCCGCCGTGAAATTTCAATTATTTGCGTCTGCGTTCGTACTTTTTTCTTCCTCGCATTATTTGTCTCTCGTCGACTTTAACGTCACGGCGAAACGTGTATAAGTGAGAGTTACTTGTTACGAACGTCTCGAGTTAAGAGTACAATGGAATCGCGAATAAGGTTTTGTCGTCTACGGTAACCAAATTGTTATAAACGATCCTGCATGGTTTCTATACAGGGTGTCCGGTAACTAACGGACCAATGATTAAGGGCGGATTCTCTGGCCAATTTGGAGACGATTTTTTCGTAGCAAAAATGTTGAGAAGTCAATAATTTTCGAGTTATAAGCGATTGAAAAAAATGGGTGAAAACTAAACGTTTTGGAGTTAAAAGTCTAACGTAATTACATTCTTCGGTTAATTTCAGGTAGAGTTTACTATAATAAAATTTTAATTCGAGGCTTAGTTATAAAGATACATAATGACAAATATTGGAAAGTTGTAAAAAATGATGACCTTTTTCGACATTTTGCTGAGGAAAAATTGTTCCCAGATTGACCAAAGAATCCACTTGTAATCGTTGGTCCGTTAGTTACCGGACACCCTGTATAGATGTTTAATTGCTTATAAATAGAAAGTATATACGTCTGTGATACGCGCGAAAAAAGAACTCGATAGGAAATAAGCTGCTTTTATTTTGCAACCGTATTATATATTCACAAGAGTGCAGGTTTTCAAATGCAAATCGATTGAGTAAAAAATCAAATGACATAGGTTAATTATACGAGACGTGTCAAATAAGATATTTATGACGACGTTTTTAATGAATATGGTATTATCTTAAATTGTCAATCATAATTTGGGCTTGACAGAATATGTACACGTGAAAAATTATTTACGCGACAAGAAGTCTTTCGAGGCTGTCACAAAGCGGTGAAAATATAAATATATTGGATATGTCTTGTGGATGGACAGATAATTTTATACAAAAATGTATTCATGAATATATTTTTATATAATACTTTGTAAAACATTGTATGTAATTTAAACATTTGCAGAGAAATACAAATTTACAAAGGAGACAGGGATTTTTTATTTTTAAATTATTTTTAACACGCTGGTGATAAAATTCAAAATCGGACTTGCAGCTTATTCATCATCGACAAAAAAGATATATGTATATATATATATATATATATATTGATAGTTTTGTTATCGATATTTTAGCATTTGATAAAAGTTTTATCCTAAAATAAATTTGATGATTATATATATCTAGGTATATCACACATTCTTATTATTCACAAAATTAATTGAATATCCCCTAACTTTTACGTGTTCTGTACAATTTCAATGTTCGTATTGCAAACATTTTGCAAATGTATTGAACATTTTAGGAAGAGCACATTAGAAATTTATGCACTAGCTTGGAAACTATTATTAAATACTGTTACTTCTCCGCTTTCGCAACCAACAATATCGGCTTGATATCGATAAAACGACATGAATAATAAACCTTCTAATGTAAGTGAGATTTTGTGCTACGTGAATTATGTTTGTTTTGTACGATATTGCAAATTCTGTGAGAATAGCAGTTTGCATTCTTTTTGTACAAAATTTAGTAACACGTTTACGTAGTTCGCTCGAATATAATAACGAATGTATGCGATACGAGGAAAATAGTTTACGTTCGCATAAATCTGATAAGAAATATATCGAATCTCTCAATCTCTGTAATCTCCGCGTTGGGACAAACTAAAAGGCGAGTTTTCGACCGCGCGGAAAAATCACACGGATCCGAAAATGTGTCGGAGATTATAAAATATAATCTTTTAAAGACTGCTTGCCCAAAGTTTTCTTTATGCGCGAAAGTTGGAATCAGATCTCTCTCGGAGGAGAGCTTGGCGGACTTTATTGAGCTATCGGTGGAGTAACTACTTCCGAACGAAGAAACGTAAAACTCCCGTATTCCGGGCTAACGCGAGAGAGCGCGCGCTCGATTCAAAAATCAAACCGTCTTTAATTTAGAGGGACGGGAACGGACCGTTCCCGACGGAGGAAAAGCCAGGGACCAAACTGGCTGTCCCGGGAAAATCGTTATCGAAGAACTTCTTGGCTCTGCAACCGCCGTCCGTTCCACCGTAAATTGTAGCTCGTTCCTTCCGTTACGAAGACGTCAAGAACGACGTTGGACACTCGATGTTCAAAAGTTTCGAGTGACTCGTAGATATGTAGATACGCTTGTCATTATAACTTTCGAAGGAATATTTCTTTGGGTACTATTTCTCTTTCTGTTTCTTTTTTCTTCCCGAGTATTACTTTTCAGTTATAGTTTCTAAAGTGAAAGGTATATTCTTCTATGAACTGTGAAAACCGCTTATATATATTTTTTATTTGAAAAAGTATTTCTACGATTTTATTCTATTATATATGAACACACATATCTATACGATATCTGTATTTATTCGTATCAATTAATCTGTCGTGAGATATAATTGCAGGTATTATTATAGTATACGAGTCATTATATATAATAGCTTATAATCACGATTGAAGAGATCTTTCAATTGATTCTACTAAGTAAAGTCTTAAAATAAGTAGTAGTAGTCTAATTGTTTAAGCAGTGGAATTTACTTTGCATTCCTTAGACGTTTATATAAGCCCGCGCGTTGTATTCGTATCATTAAACTCATTTCGCGGCCGATTTATGTATATTGCTGTGCATGCAAATATTGTCGGAGCAGTCTTACGCATATTTCGAGAGAGAAACGCACACGAGGGAAGCTTTTCGTGATTTCGCAGTCGTATAACGATTGCGTCGTCCTCTCTCGCGTTCCGCGTTTTAGCTTCGATAAAGCGAAAATGTGTAGAAGCAAGTAGAAACAGCCTTTCGTAGTCAGACCGTCGAGTGTGTACACGATCGTGAGAGCCGGAGAAACGTATGTACGCGTTTCAACCATTAGTACGCGAGGACGTGTTCAACGTCTCGATTAGAGATAAGACGCAAATGTATAAAGTCGAAAGAACGAAACGTGTGTGCGAGAAAGAATTTCGTCTTTGCATGATTCAATAAAATTCGCGTTCGATGACAGTCTCATCTTCGTTAGAGATCGAAAGAAGCTTGTCGTGATATTCGCTATGTAGAATTAAAAAAATAATGAGTGAGAAACGTTTCGAAACGAGACATGAAAAAGAACTCTTTGAATCTTCATGTTTTGAACGAAAAATATATCTAGAGAAAAATATATCTTAATGAGAAAAAAAAGAGCCGTCCATTAGAAATTTTCTCGATGTATTTTCGCGTTACAAATAATGCTCTACGATTTTTATTATTTGCAGTATTTTCTAATATAGAAGATCGCGCGAATGGGAAATCAAAAATCTCTTTCTCGCCGGAACGGCGCTAAAGTCAGTAACAAATTAATAAATAGATTGCACGAATTCTAATAAATATATATCGAGCGGCAACAATATTAAATGTCGTTTTAATGAAGTTATTGCGTCGGTGGCACAATACGATTTATGGCCTCTCGCTTTCTCTCTCTTTTTCTGAGGTGTGATAATAGAAATACACAACTTTCGGCGCCGTGGTCGTGTGTGCGGCCGCAACAAAAGGAACACATTTACCTCGGCGAGCTAAATGATAGATTATACGACGAGCCGTGTATATTTTGCCAACGTACGAATATGATCGATGCTTATTACCGAGCCAAACCGGAATAATAGACGGTAATGGATATCGCAACGTTACACTTGCCACCACTAACGCGGGAATAATTATTGTGTCACGCAATAGTGGTAAACGGATCTTAATTATTTCAGCTAAAGTGATTTTATTCGGATATATACGTCCGTTTTGAAAACTGAATTTAGTTTTCGCGAAAATCTTATTAAGAGATTCAATGAATCTCGAGGAAATGAAAAATAGTCTTATAGCACTCACCAGTACGATGCGCAAGGCAGAGTTATAGTTGCGTTGTTCATCTGTAAAATACAAAATATGTTTATATTAGAATCGTTCAGAATATAATTAACATTTTTTTTTAAATGAGTAAATAATTAGGATAGGCAATTATATGCTCGACATTATATATGGTTACATGATATTTGCACAAATATAATATATGTATTAATGTTATAATTAGTGAGAATTTCCTTAAATAAACTTTGCGCAATCGTAATTCCAAACCATAATAAAAATAATTTCAAATAATGATAAATTAATTACACGATGAATATTATGTTCAAACATAATTATACATTTAGACGATAGTATAATTTTTTAATGAGGGAAATTATTAAATTTAATTTTAATTAAAAGTTAACTTAAATTAAAAATATATAAAAAATTTGTGAATTTCAACATGAACTAATTTTTATACGGAACAATTTATTCATACAACAATTATTAAACTTAATGGAACTTATCATTTTTGTATTTTTTAAGCAAATTTTATTGTTAATAAACAATACATAATTTATTTTTTTTTAATATAAGCTTTTATGCATAACATTATTTTTAATTATACTTAATTTTATTATAATTTAATATTATATTTATAATGCTTATAAAATAAATTCCTAATTCTAATCTAAATGTAAATAATTATAAATTTTAGGCGCACAATATTAAAATTTATTATTTTGATATAAAAATATAACATATAATATAAATGTGTACATATATTAATTATTTATCCATATATGTAAATATATATCATTTGGTATTTGAATATAAATATTTTTAAATTTTAAAATCTAAATTCTTTTTTATTTATTATATATTATGTTTTACACTAATATGTAAAATTAATTCTCAATATTAAGGAAAGAATCATAATTAATTTCACACATGTGCACAATTAAAATAATAAATTACCATATGTAAATAATAGAGGTCACAGGGATTATAAATTTGTCTTACTCCAAAAAGATGAGCTTCGCTTTCGTCCGATGCCTTCCGTCCGGGCCTCTTTCTCCTTTCTTGTTCATCTTTTGTTGCCCCTTTGTGGCACTCACACACTATTAACTCGCGTAAATACAATTAATTACGATCACCGGCGCACTGATAAATAGAAGACGACAATAGCGCGGCATTTTGCACGACACTTCCGACGTTAATTGCGCGCACTTTATTATATTGCGAAAATATCACAATATACACATGATTAGATACGATAGATTTTATCTATTAATTAAAGGCATTGCAACATCACTTTACTCCGAGTCAATTTGTATTTTATATTCGTAACATTATCGATGGCCACAAATATGATATCGACTAATCTCATTTTGTTTCCCCGCGACACGAAAATTGATTAAAACTAACGCGTTAATTAATCGCGTGGATAGATAATTGCATAATAATCGTGGAAAATGAAATCGCGTTAACGTCTTTTAATACTTGCTGCTAATATATCTCAAAGGATACACTGCGATATGCGGAGCAGTTTGTCTTTATTGCACGCTCGAGTTTTGCCGCCTAAATGACAAAGTATAATGACGTAACAATAGCGCGATATGTTTAACGAGAGTCGAACATCGTGTGATAGTTGATAATATTCGTGTTACAATCATGGAATATTTAACGCACATTGTATTTTCATGATTAAAAAATAAATATATATGGAATACTTTTATCTGGAATTTTAAATTAATGTAGCGATTAATATGTATGTGGGTGTATATCAGGACTTTTTTTAAATAATTTATTTATATCACTCAATTTGAGACTCATATGTATTACTTTGCAAATTTTTAATCCGAAAATCATTAAATTAAAGACAAAATTCAGAGCATATAAGCTAATAAATATTATATATATTGAACGTCAATTAAAATATATATAATTTTATAATATTTTATCATTTTTTTATATAAATATTGATATCATATGGAAATTCCAATAAAAATTATTGTTTTATTACTATATTTTTGAGCAGTAATTACTTCAGTAAATGCTTATGTGTGTTAAATAAAAAATATTGATTTGTAAACTTTAATGAAAAAAAAGTAACTAGAAAAATTATAAAATTTATAATCAAATATAATTTAATTTTATAAAATATGATGAAATATATATAAATACATAATGCATTATAATTGTATAATTTTACAAAACGTTAATAATAATTGTCATGTTTATAATTTTATAATAATATATAATTGACTATGTTTACAATTATATAAAATTATTTGTTCATTATTTATTTATTTAATATATTTGCAAAAGTATAATTATCGCAATGTAGAAATAGAACAATAATTTTAGCAAAATAGGTTTCATATGACTTTTTCTCTTTACTTTTCATTATCTCATTTCTTTCTACTTTTTTTTCTAACTACTTATTCAATCCTATATACGTATTTTCTAAAAAAACATACAATTAGAGACTCTGCAATCTTCCCTCTATCAAATGTTTCAAAGGATTCCGAGGCAAGATTAAATTGAAAGACATCGATCTAAATAGCGCAGCAACGCGATAAAGGCAGATCGTTAACTTTGAATGTGGTGTAATTATATTAATGATTCGGGTCACATAATCTCTCTGACTAGAACTCTCCTGTCAATTAAGTGGCTAATTAAGCGGCTCGTGTAAATTCCATTCGACAACGTTTCGACTTCGTTTTTGTTCAATACCGATTTGTCCTCTCTTACCCTGTCATCGCGATATAACTGCGCTGATTCCCCGACGACCAATTTCATACGGCGAAACGACAGTGAGACTCAATTAGAGGGGACGATGGGTCCCTTTGTTTCGCCATGAAGAAAGGGCGCCTGGAGCCTTCGTTAAGCAAGATAACTGGATGAAAGGAGAGAGAGAATGCGGAATTAAAAGGATAGATAATTGAGATATCTATGTCCCGTAGTTCGAAACGAACGTTTGCCGAAGAAAAACGCATGCCGAGATGCGGGGAGCAAGTATCTGCACGTATATATATACAATAATACGTAATTTATTTTCGCCAAAAAGTGTAGTAGCTTTTTCTTCTCCTCGATAAAGATATATATATATATATATATCTTTATCGAGGAGAAGAAAAAGCTACTACACTTTTTGGCGAAAATAAATTACGTAAGATAATACGGTTAACGTAACTTTTTCCGATACATTAGTTCAGTTCAGGCCCGGGATTTATCGATCCTCGTAGCATCGAGCAAGAGCTTCCCCTGCCCATCTTCATTCTACTTGTTCGCGACGCGTAACAACAAAATTTTTTAAAAATGCGCAAACTTTTTGCTTCGCGAAACATCTTACGCATTTTGGATACAAAGAGTCGGGTTTATGAATACGCCATTCGATTAGTTACCCCAACCAAGTATAAGGATATGCGAGCTTTTCCACACAAAGCCTTCTTAATTTCAATTTTTTTTTCTCTCCGCCCGCTATCGGGCCAGATCCTTTTGACTTTGCGAAAGAAGACGCTCGAAACGGCATTGCCTCGAGAGATGAAAGATATGTAGATGAAGAATAACGATGGAGAAAGAAAGAGAGAGAGAGAGAGAAAGCCGGGAGCGGCAGGTATTGTACATAGGTCGGATTCTAAAAGATGTAAATAAGGGCGATAACAGCTTCGGGGTTAGTGGAATACTTCTGCGGTGAAAATCTCGGAAAATCACGAGGAATTGGAGCGAACAAGAGCGGTCCCCGGAAAACACCACCGTCTCGGCGTAATATTCCCCTTTTCAACGTGCGAAACATTTATCGATGAACTGCGCGCCCGTTTCCGACGTACGAAAAATCTCTGTCAGACACGCGCGTTCAATGCATATATTATGAAGCCATCTGAATCGACGGGAGTGAGATCGACGTCCTTTTACATCGAGTGCTTCCTCGCGCGAACATAGGTTGTTCGACCAAGTTTATGGTCGTATATTTCTTTTCTCTTTGCGCCATCTTTCCGAAACACATAAAGATGTCACGAAAACACACGATAAAATTTTAAAGGCTTGACTCTATTTATATTAGAAGAGTCGAGTAGCAGATTGATTCTCGAAAGGAAAGAAGCGGGAGAGAAAATATTTTTATTTTGAGTTTAGATGAGCTCGCCGAATGAATAAATATTTTTGGAATAGTTTAATATTAATTTGTTTCTTTACGGGATAACAAGTTTGTATACGCGCAATGCAAATTTTAAATATTCAACTCTATTTATATATTGTGAAATATAAATAACAAATTATAATGGACAAATAAATTGAGTCGAAAGAAAAAAGTACAAGGAAACATTTTCATTTGAGTTTAAATGTATTCATTGAATGAATAAAGATTTCCCAAACAATCTTCATGGACAAAAATAGTCAAATTTATTTATGGCTTAATATTAATCTGCACGTTAATAAGATTATGATTATACCATAAGATCAATTACACTATATATCATAGTGCATGGTATTTGATCTTATTTGACATGGTAATATCTATGTAAATCTCCCTATCGTCGCGTATGCAATCTAATCTAACTTGTCACTTGACAATAATGGACATCGGGATAATATGAAAGAAGAACGAGACGACATTTTACTTAGATCCAAACCTATTTCTTGGGATACTTGACAATTTGTTCATCTTCATGGACAATGATAGTCGATTTTATTTACACGCAGTCACGGCGGCAAATAATTAGCGAGACAAACGGGTGAAATTACTCGGCCGCCGACAGGAAATAAATCAGACGTTCTTCGCTCCGTGAAAATGCAGGATAGCTCAGGCGGAAGAGCGAGGGCGAGCAGGTGGAGCCAAGGAAGTGTAAAAGGAGGAGAAAGGAAGGAAGCGCAAGGATGGGGAATAGAGCGGGTCGGTATATACGACGAGCTTCTAGATACAGAGCAAGAAGAGGGAGCCTAATGAAATAAGGGTTGTTAATGAGAAGCCGTGAGAGCACGTATACCTCCGTCTTTTGCCGAAGGAAACCCCTCGAGATTATGCCGATACATTCATCCGCGACGTCCGTCGATCCGCCGCCGTCGTTTTCGCGGCGCA